GGAGTATGAGAAAAGTCATGGTTATGTGATTTTCTCTGGGTATATTGGGCTATGTGAATGTTGATGAAGAGGAAAGGGAATAGCTGGAGTTAGCCAGTAGAAGTCATTTAATATCAGATAACAAGTAATTGTTGAATGAATGAGAAGTTAAATAACTTTTTCTATGATCAAAGAGCTGAAAACTTTAAACAGTGATCTCAAAGTGTATTAGACTTCACAGACTAAACTTTCTACTGAACTTTGCCATTTTAGATAGGGAAAGGTAGACTTTTGATAGACTACAGCTCTAGATAATAGGGAATTCTGCTTATTGGAAGAATCTGGGAGAGTCTCTGGAAAAGCTTATACTAGATATTATACTAGACATCAGTATCTGTAAATATGGAGGAGGCATATGCTCAAGGGAGTCCAAACACTCACAAGGTTTGCATCAGGTACTTGGGTGCCGTTAGTTACATCCCGATCATTACTGCAGAAAGAAATAATAACTGTCTTTTATTTAAAAATATCATGGCACACTTATCATAAAGCATTAGCCTTTCATATTTATAATGTATACTCCCTTTAGGTTGTAATACACACTGGGAACAAAATAGGTTTAGAAATTAGAAATAAATAAGGGTACCAAATCTCAAATCAGGTGAAGTGGGGACCAAAGGGAAGCCCAAACTTTACCTGTATGATGACCACATATGCAACTAACCCTTAATTGTGCCCCACAACTTTAAATTAAAAAAAGAAAAAGAAACTAGAATTAAATAGATAACTTTCTGCCATATGCTCTCAATCATGTCTGAATTAAAGTATCACCACAAGAATAGTTTATATCTAATATATTTTAATCTCTCTATTCAAAACCAATAGACTCCATCCCTCTTTTGGGGCAAATTACCAACACTAGGCCATCAGTAAGATTTAGACTGGCTTTAAAATCAGAATGCTTGGACTGATATTGGACTGAAATCATAACACTGAGTTAACAAGAGGCAAATCAGTACGTATGTGTGAGTGAGTGAGTGAGAGTGTGAGTGTGCGTGTGTGTGTGTTCATACCTGGAGGAAAGCATACAAACAAAATCAAACTGAAGAAAGAAGCCGGGCTCAGTGCCTCAGCCTGTAATCCCGCGCTTTGGGAGGCTGAGGTGAGTGGATTGCCTGAGCCCGTGGGTTCAAGACCCATCTGGGCAACTTGGCGAGACCTCATCTCTACAATAAATAATAAAAAAAAAATTAGTCGGGCGTGGTAGCGCCCGCCTATAGTTCCAGCTACGCGGAAGGATCGCCAGAGCCCAGCAGGTGGAAGCTGCGGTGGCCAGGAGCGACCACTGCACTCCAGTCTGGGTGACAGAGTGAGACTCCAACTAAAAAAAAAAAAAAAAATGAAGAAAGATTTGAGAATAGTATTAGCTGATGAAAGGACAGTCTGACCGATGAAGGAAGGGTTTAGAGTACTTAGAGAAATCAAGATGGAATAACCTACATGGCATTACATAACACACCTCAAGGGAGTTTTTAAAGAGAAGTTGTGAAATCCTTGTAGAGTCATTATGGCTCCTGCCACCATCAGAGGTTCAACTATCTTCATAAAAGCTCAGAGTGCTAGTTTCAGAAAAGAAGTCAACTCCATTCTGAACTGGAACACAAAGGTTGATACAGGTAATAAATTAATCTTAAAATTTTTTCTTATGCCTTCTACAGAGCAAGCTCTGTGTAAGATTGCTTGTGCACATTCTTTCATTAAATCCTCACAGAAATTCTAGTGAGGGAGATGAAAAGGATAGATAGAATAGTCTATAGTATGTTATTCACTGGTGAAAGGTAAAGATGAAGAGAAAAACTGAAAGGTAGGTGTTGTTATCAGTAATTAAAGAAGACATATACTATCGGGGAGGCTGCAGTGCATGGATAGGTATAAAATAAAAATGAAATGGAGGAATACATAGGAATTTCATTAGAATACAAAGAGGGCTAGAGAGTTAAGAAATATAGAAAGAAAAAGTAAGGTAAAGAATAGAGATAAGAATGAGGGAAAAATGAAGATGAGGAAAAACACATTTAGGTTTTAAAAAAGCAGAATCAAAAGCAATAAAACAGAAAGGGTGAACAGGAATCAACTATTTGCATAGAAGAATAGTGCATCAAGTTCTAAGGCTTAAATAACATTAAGGTTTTCTCAAGAACATCCTAAGGAAAACTTCCAGGAAGGATAAGCTAGCTGATTCTTTCCACCTGGAAACCATAAGAATTGTGTGAGACAATGGTCAGCAGCTCCAAGTAAGTGAAGGACTCTCAATGCATAGCAAAAGTCTTCCTCAAGGTGCAGCCAGAAGGTTAGATAGGCACCATAAAGTGCTTTGTTTGGATCTGATCTGACAACTGTAATTTTTTGTGGGGAGGGGGATGTGGCTACCAGGAGTCTGTTAGGAAGGCATTCATGAATAGACTGCACCAGCTTTTAAAGATTCTTCTGTATGAGATCAGAATCTACAAAATAATTTCTCAGTAGTCAAATTTCCCAAGCAGCATATTCTCACCCTAAGACAGAGAAACAGGAGGCAGAAAGAGCAGGGAAACAAACCACATGATCTCCCACCCAAGCTCATCGTTCCCAGGCCAGCTCATGAGACATTTTTTCTTTTCTCACAAGTACTTAAGTGCAAACAAAGACACCACACTCTCTCTCAAAGACTCCCTATTTAAGTTTTTGTCTGTGGTTTCTTAGAAGAATATATTTTTTTCTTTTAGTTAAAGAGTTTTAATCCATCTGCAGATCAGAAAGGGATTTGAGAGTTTGCAAGAATTCTTGAAAGAAGATTGATGTTCAGTTATCCATATTCACTCCGTTGTTTTATTTTTTCATTCAATTCATATGGAAAAGTTAATATGTGCCATGCATGTGGTTAGTGATATGATAAGCAATAAAATATTCCTCTGCTTCAAAAAGATTTAACTTCTAGTAGGAGAGAGAGACATTAAACAAATACTTTGTCCACTGTACTCACTTAAAGAAAGGAAAATCCCAGAATGTGAACATAGCTTCTAGGACATCTTAAGTACTATGTGTAATTTCTAAAAGTTTATGTGGGAAGGACCAATAGACTTTGCTTAAGCAAAAAGGAACTTCACAGGGAGTGGGTGAAAGCATAAAGAATTGGGAAGAACATATGTAGGAATGCTCTATCAGGAAATATCTCAGTGAAATTCAGGAATTTAGAGACTACAAATTTGGATTGATTGAAGTGACCAAAGAGGAGAGTAAATGTTGTGAGTTGGTACCAGAGAGGTGGGCGGGGGCTTCATCTTACTTTACCTAGAATGCTAAGGTAAGGATTTAGAACTCTGCTCTAATTACAATGGAAGTCCTTAAAGGAGTTTTGCTAATGATGAACAAATAAAATTTTTATTAGTTAAAAGTCTATTCTGAATGCAGAATGAAGAATCTATTGGAAGGAGGCACTAGTGGATGCAAAAATATCAGTTAAAGAGTCTAGGAGAAATGGGTTACACTATTATTGAGTCAAGAAATACAGGGGGAAAGATACATTTTTTCCTATGTTTTAGAGATAAGTTTGGAAATTGACCAAATGTTGATTTAACAAAAGAATAGTTTTCAGGAATTGCTTCCAGATAAGTGACTATTCTCCTATTCATTATATGTGGTTATTTATAAGCCAGTAATTTCTCTGCTCCTAGCTTGCTTAAAATGAGGCTATGGAAAGTTTTAGGCTTTTAAAATTCGTGGACATTAAATGGTAATCTCAACATTTTTATCCACCAGTGCGTCTATCTATGCATGTAGCTCATTATAAATTCTGTGAAACATATACTTTACATATGGGGGCACCCCCCCAATACAGAATTATCTTTTGGAGGGTGAGCCCCTTGTAGTACACTTGGAATTTATTCCTCTGAAGCATATGGTCAACCAAAGTTTTTATCTGGAAGCTTTGAGAAGTTTGCATCACGATTTGTGGAAGAAAGTCTGGAGTTGTGGCAAACAGGTGACTAGTTCTTCCACTGTGACAATGCGCCTGCCCACACGGCACTGAGCATTTAGCAGTTTTTGAGCACAAATGGCCTAACCCTTTTGCCTTACTCTCCCTATTCCCCCATCTCACCCCAAGTGACTTACTTTTGTTTCCCCAGATGAAAAAATTTCCCACCACTTCACAATATGTCCATGTAGTGAACACACATGTGTACCCTCCAAATCTAAAATTAAATAAAAATTAATAATTTTTTTAAAAAAGAAAAAAAAAGTCCTCAAAGGGAAATGTTTTGCTGATGTGGAAGAGGTGAAACAAAAAATAGTAGAATCACTAAAAGTCATCAAAAATGACAAGTTCAAAAAATCTGTTTTGAACAGTGAAAAAAGCATCGCAATACATGTATTGCATCAAATGAAAATAACTTGGGAGATGACTGAAGTTTAAAGAATAAATACATGTTTTTAATAAATTCTGGGTTTGGGGGGTTTCCCCTCGTATACGTGTGTATATGTATATATAGATGGATATATATATATATATATATATATATAGATGGATTTATATAGATAGATAGATAGATTTTTGTTGGCAGTGGGATTGTGTGTAATGTGCGTTTAGTAATGGTATTGTGAGTTTAATGGGTTTTTAGAAATTATTTAGGAAATTGCTGTGTGTTTTTAAGTCCTTCGTTTTGGCTGCTTCTTTCCTGCCAAACCTTTAGAGCTACCAGAGAAAGAGACATTTACATTCTCTACTGTCTAAATACTGGATATTTAGTCTTATCTCTATTTTTCAGATGAACAAATTAGGTCCAAGTGAAGGGAGATCATCACATGTGACTGATTGCTTAAGACAAATTAGTACAAAAGACACTTAGATGTTGGTTTTCAACCTCTGCTGTTCTACCTATGTATTTATAAAGACATTTTCCTGTTTATATAATAATATATTTCTAATTTAGGAACTGTGAGCTACGTGGGACCGTCCAACCTCACCCAGTGGTGAGAACACCATGATAAACTCAAATGCATCACATGAATTACATGCCAACTACCACAGTTTCATTCTGACAGGTATCCCAGGTATGCCAGACAAAAACCCTTGGGTGGCCTTTCCCCTGGGGTTTCTTTACACACTAACACTTCTGGGAAATGGTACCATCCTAGCTGTCATCAAGGTGGACCACAGTCTGCAAGAGCCGATGTACTACTTCCTCTCTATCTTAGCTCTCACTGACATCAGTCTCTCCATGTCCACCTTGCCTTCCATGCTCAGCATTTTCTGGTTCAATGCCCCTGAGATCACCTTTGATGCATGTATCACACAGATGTTCTTCATCCATGGATTTGGAGTCATAGAGTCAGGAGTCTTAGTGTCCATGGCCTTTGACAGATTTGTGGCCATCCGAGACCCACTACACTATGCTTCCATCCTCACCCATGGCATTATTGGAAAGATTGGAATGACTGTCGTCAGTCGAGCAGTCTGTGTGGTCTTCCCTGTGCCCTTCCTTATAAAGCGGTTACCCTTCTGCCATTCCATCATCTTGTCTCATTCATACTGTCTTCACCAAGATGTGATGCGGCTAGCCTGTGCCAGCACCAAAATTAATAGCCTTTATGGCCTCATCGTTGTCATCCTCACACTGGGACTTGATGCCCTCATTATTATCTTGTCTTACATACTCATTCTAAAGACTGTGCTGGGCATTGCCTCCAAAACTGAAAGGCTCAAAACCCTCAACACTTGTCTTTCTCACATCTGTGCTGTTCTCCTCTTTTATGTTCCTCTTATTGGTGTCACTATGATCCACAGATTTGGGAAGCATTTATCACCAATAGTGCACACACTCATGGCTAATATCTACCTGCTGCTCCCACCTGTGCTAAATCCCATTGTCTATACTGTGAAGACCAAGCAGATAAGAAGACGAATTAGCCAAGTGTTCCAGAGGAGAGTAAACAGGGTCTAGCGGAATGGAATCATTTATAAGATGCAGAATAAGTAGCTACGGGAAGAATCAGTTCTTTGATTTTCTGTAGTTATCATGTAGTCAAATTTTACACATCTGAGAAAATTCAGGAGTGGCCAAGAATTGTGGGGTGGGGGTATACAAAAAAGGTCATTATTTTTCTGTATATACTCTATTTTTAAATGCATGCATTTTGGTATCTGGTGTCATGAACAATACCTAATTGAATTGAGTAACATTATACTTTACTTTGAAATTGGAGATAAGCATCTTTGAGAACAAATGATCACTTATTTATTCAGATAATATTTGAGTGTTTATTCTTCTAATTTTAAGTGATATTTTTTCTTTAGTTACCAATTAAATAATAATTACAGTAAAAAGGATTAGAGAAGTCCTATAGAACTTCTGAAGAACTGGGTTGCTGATTTTTATTTTTGTTAAATAGGGAAAAGAAAACTGTTAAATGATAAAAAATAAATTAAAAATCTTCATGTTCAAGTGTCTATTGGATGAAGGGCGTCTATGATGAAATTAAAATAGACACAGATGTGGTGCCTTAATAGTATTATTCCTTTAAGTGATAGCACTTCTTTACAGATGTATTTGAATTCTAGTTTTTTACCACATATTTTGTAAACAAATAGGTGTTCTATCTTTACTCTTTTGACCTAGCATAAATAGAATTAATTTTGTTGTGTACTAGAAGATTCAGCAAAATTTTACTAAGTAAAATTACTCCTGAAATTTGTGTAAGGCAAGTGAAAATTCTCAGAAAAAGAAAGAGGTTTAAGAATACAGCCTACACAGGTATTGGGTGAATATGTCAAATGCAACATGCCTGTGCAATGAGGCTAGTATCTGCTTTAAGAGTTGTTTTCATCATTATACAACCAAGTTGCTAGGGTGATTATTTATTCATTCAATAAATATGCATTGAACACTGATGAAATGCTAGGCATGATACCAGACACAGGTGATGCAGAGAAAAATGCCACAATTTTTTGCTCAATCTTTGGAATGTTCCTCTTTAAAGTATGCATAAAGACAATTACAAGGCAAGTAGATACTACATTATAATGTTACATTTAATTTGCTAATTCTAAAATTACTAGTTGCTTTGATAGATTATATCATTCAGCTCTTGCAACAACTTTTGAGAATGGATATTACCAACATTTGCACATGAGGGAAATGAGATTTAGATAAATAACTTGCTTGAGATCATGCAGTTTCTACGTAGCAGAGCTAGATTCAAAAAATATTTCGTTGCATTATTTGGACAATATGTATGGCATTTCTTCTTCTTTTTTCCCCCCAGGATTATCTGTCCTAACTAAATTGTAAGATTGAGTTCAATGTTAGGTTCGGTGTCTTCCCCATGCCTCATATGGGTGCTCAAACATTCTTTGTGCTCAATAATTTTTCCTTTTTTAAAGTAAAGCATTCTGGGTGTATCAGATAACTTATCAATAGATCACTTCCTTCAAGTGTCCCTGCCAACAAGGAATTCATAAATACATAGACTTCAGTGTGTACACATAAATACTTGTCTGATCAGTGATTATTGTTTTATTCTGAAAGATGGAGAAATGGGGACAAAGTTACTGGTGCTGGAAAGACAGAAACATCTCCAATCACACACTCAGTAAAGTCCTGAGCTGGAACTAGATCCCAGGTCTCCTGACTCTATAGTGCTCCTGTTCCTCCTTTCCTACACCTATGGCAATCGTAGACCTAATGTCCAGGAATCAGGAGAAAAAATGATATCTCAGGGTTAGTTTTTTCTGTAGCTGCTCCTGGAAGCATCAACATTGCCAGTGAGTCAATGAACCAACAATGCATCTCAAGCTCCTGTAATACCTGCCTTCTGAAAGTGACAGCTCCCTTCTGAATGCTACTTCTCTAGAACAGTCTTCATCATTCATATATTTGTTCATTTAACAAATGAACTTGTCCTATTTAGGCACTTACTGTATTCCAGATAGAGGACAAATTGAAGAGTTCATTGAAGTTACTTAATAAATGAAAGAATGAATAAATGTGTCCCTGTTCTTGTGGATTTACTAAAACTAACTTCACAAAGAAGTTTTGTTGGTAATTCAAGCAACTTTTCCTATTTTTCCAGTCTATGTTACTATATGTCAGGTAATTCAAGCAACTTTTTCTATTTTTCCAGTCTATGTTACTATATGTCAGAAGTCTCTATTCCTTTACCAGAACAATATTTACTCCTCTCTCAACAATCTTCCCTTCCTAAAATGTCTTCCCACACCTCCCTGCTGCAGTGACCTTGCACTATTATTGCTCTGTTTCTGGTGGTAAGAGAACTGCTGCTGCAAATCTGGATTACAAATATCACTGATCCCCTCTTACTCTGAAGCCAATTACAATGGGGAGGTATGGTGAGAAGACACACTGCCTCTATGACCTCCCTGGAGGCTTTGATCTTCATTTCAAGTTCCAGTGGAGCTGGCACATTCAAGAAGCTGAAATGGACACAAATAAAATTTACTTTTTAATCTTTCTGTGAGGCACTGCTTTCCTCAACTTCAGAGGCATCCTTAATTTGGATTACAATGCGAATTTCTCCTCGGAGTTACATAATCCACAGCCCTTTATTTAGAATTTTCTCAACAACTTTTAGCTAATATCTTAGAGAAACTAAATTTCCATCTATGGTCTCTGGTTTTTTGCTCGTTTGTTTGCTTATTGCTTTCCCACTCTCTGGCACTCCTGTCTCAGAAATGGACCCTAGGTTACTTATATTCATTCGTTGCTTTCTGTGTTTTCCTGTACAATTTAATTATTTACATTCACTTACACATAATGAAATGTAGTGATGCAAAGACTTGTAGGACATATTAGGGCTGGCATCTGGAAGACTTCCAAAAACTATGTTTGACTCTGTACAGAGTAGATGATATTGATAGGACATTCTCTCTTGTAAAGTACTCTGGAATTGAGCCCTGCGGTCAGAGCTTAACTACCAGTAATGTTTAATACCCGACTTATCAGGGGTTTGCCTTTGATAATGTACTGTCTGGCCTCTCTTAGTCACTCTGTTCATTTGTGTAGTTTGAGAAAAGAGAGGTATTTTAATGACTCCGCATATCTGCAAATGGAAAATCAAGTTCTAACTCAACATTCTCACTTGATAGTTTCTCTAAATGCTTGTAGACACACTTGAATTCTGTTATGCATTTCATGTTCTGGACACAAGTATTCTTCAAGTTGTAATGAAAGTTAATCATCTATTTTCATTGCTTCAGAACACTTAAGTTTGCTGTAACACGTGTAAATTCATGATAGGGATACACATCTTAGTGATTCACTTCTATATTGAGGCTAGAATAATGGGGATCCAATGATTTGATTTTGGGTACAACTCATGCAAATCAGATGTTCTGTTTGTCAGTTTATCTTGATTCCTACTTTTATCCCCATCCTCCAAGATAATGCAGGTTGCAAAGTAATTGCTCAAGGCATTGCTTGAACAGAAATTTTAAATATCATAATTTTTAAAATTTATATTAAAAAGTGAATGAGAAACAATTTGTTATTTGTATAAAAATCTGTCTTATTTGACAACATCTTTTGAATTTTTATTTCCATGCAGATAATGAAAGGAGTCCTTAGAACTAAGAAGTCTGGTACTATGGTGAGTGTTGAAGGAATGAGGCAAAAATGAACCTGCAAATTCTATCATATGGACAGTAGTGGAACTATTGGGGCAATGTATTAGATACAGTAAACATTCAATTATGCATGTATGTGTCTTTTTTTTTCTTTTTGGTTAGCTGCTTGGTTTTAGGTGACATGAGTGGACAACTACACTATGATTTTATGGAAGATATAGTCAAGTCATAGGGACAGATGATAAATAAATATGAAAATAATTAGAGACTTTGGTAAGTCATAGAATGGAAACAAAATATGTGCATTGATAGAAAAATTATATTGCAGATAAGTTTTCCTGGTTGGGGTCAAGGAGGCTAACATTACAATGGAACAAAAGAAAGCTTTATGAAATGATGAAAACATTATTTATCTTGATTGAGGAGCAGGTGACTTCATAGGTATTAGAACCATCAAACTGTGTATGAAAATATTTGCATATGATTGTTACAAGATATACAGTAACAAAGCAAATTTTTAAAATGAACTTTCAATTGATTAACAAATTCACTGAGAAAAAGATATTGGTCCCTTGATCTGTGAAATTCAAGAAGAATAAAAATGCTTCTTCAGAATCTTTATTCTTTTCTAGGGGAATTTTCAGGCTCCAATAAATCTGTTTCTCCTGGAAAAGCACACATGTTCTTGAGTCCTCCTCAAAGCATCTTCATTTGATGTTGACTTAAGGAACACAAGACCTTGAATTATAGAACATTTTAAACTATTGGCTTTGGTAGAGAAGAGCTGTGAGAGATTGGCAATTCAAGTGCAAAGATTTAAAACAAAACATGCTTTTAAATACAGGTTAAATATTTAAATACAGGTTAAAATATTAATTGATTTAAGAAATTACTATTAAAATATGCTATTATAATTTTTAATGGCTCTCCCACTACTTAAACCATGAAGTATGTTATCTTCAGTAGAGAATCTTTTTCCTCATTCATTCCAGAAACATCTCTGTCATTGAGAAAGCCATCATTCTCAGGGAATCAGGAAATAGGGAGACTACCACTTCAGTTCACCCGATGCCCATCGTTAGTAGTCTCAAGAAGCTGTGACCTGGTAGTAATTTTACATTTAAATTTAAAGTGTGTATGAATCTTAATCTGTTGTAGTTTTCCTAGTCTCTTCAGATTGTCCAATCCACTACTCTAAACTTTGGCACTGAATTAACCTCTTATGTATGATTTTGTTATTATTTTCATTAGTTTTTCTCATGCTAAAATTAAACTTCCTCAATCAAAGATATATTTAAAAATACACTAATGTTCAAAAGAAAATGAAAATGAAAATTTCACAAACCTCACTACTTAAGAGTA